TAAAATATCGAAAAATATACAGCGCGCGAATTTTAAATGAGAATTTCCGAAAACTTTTCGGTCTTAATGTAATATGTAAATACTAATCAAAAATAAATGCTTGAATTTTACGGCAAGCCATTTTCCAACTTTTCATCGCGCCATTTTCCAACTTCCTCAAAATTGCTGAAGTGCTAATCTGTTAGCAGATACCACGTTAATCCGAAGAGATGATAATCAGATCTAGGAAGTGCGACAGTTCTAGCAGGATGTCATTCAAGTTATTTGAAGGTGTCATTTACAAGTTTTCTGTGTGAAACTTCGCATTGTCATCTAACAAAATCATTCTGCCATATCTTCTGGCCATTAAGGTCTTCTTTTGATCACTGCGTGATTTAAATTAATAATTTGTTGGCGAGAACGTTGTGCTTTATCGGATATCAAGAATTCATAATACACAATACCGATCTGTTCCCACAAGGAATGATTTTCTTACTGAAATGCTCTTACTGAAATCTTGGTATTCAAGGATCGTCTTCGCCACGTAGAAATCACAATTATTCTTCCACAAATCACGGTTTTCTTACCGGTTTAGATCTTAGTATTGAAGAATCAGCTTCGCCAGGTGAAAGCCACGATTTTTTCAAAACACATCCATTTTACGTCATCCATCACAATTCGTTACAAAAACAATTTTCTTTCCTTCCATTGAAAGAGTATTTCACAAGTGACTGTTTAATTTTCCTTCTGACGTTTATTTAAACCATCTGTGATTCATTTACCCAGTTTATTGATCTTCCCTATTGATCATATTGTTTCTTAATTGTTGTTTATGACACAATGATTCTATCAAATACGTTTGAGTTTGAGTTGGATTATCAACAAGAGAAGTTATCCTGCAATTGTTCGTTTTCGTACTTTTGTGGTTGCTCGATGACGTCACTTTTTAACTGTCGAAACTATGTCTCACATGTTCTCATCGACATAGCGTATTGACCATATGTGTCCAGCTTTTGTTGGAATCAAGAGCTATGTGTTTACAGTTTAATGTCAGTTGAACAAAATGACGTGTGTTAATTTATAACACTGCGTACTTTACGTTAGTTCATTAATCTTTTCTTAATCTCTAATTGGAGTTAATATAATAATTATAATAATATAATAGAGATTAATATTAGAGATCATGTAATCTAATCTCTGATATATTAATCTAATCTCTCAGTTAATCTTTAGAAAAAACTTATGTATACACCTGATATTGAAATTTTTAATAAAAAAACAGTTTAGTTAAGATCAATCAAATATTATTGAGAGTTATTTTGATTGTTATCCATCAGATATTTTACATCAAAAATATTATACAATACTCTTATTAAGATTAATTGTTTAAAGGAGTTTGTAACAAAGATGAAAGATATTATTTTATAAGATATACTTGTGAAAATGAAATAATAATTAAAAACAATTATTTATATAATATTGCAATAAATGAATATGTTAAATAAATTTTGCATTGTTGAATACTCCTTTCTGCATGCGAACAGACTCTTTATTCGCAATCGTTGCCTTGGCTGCGGACACAAAATTGCCTGCGATGAGCTCGTGATGAGAACCCTCGAAAACGTTTTCCATTTAAAATGTTTCGCGTGCGTCGTCTGTGGAGCGCTACTGAAAAAGGGCGAGCAGTACGTCGTGAAACAGGGCCAATTATTCTGTCGTTTCGATTACGAAAAGGAAGTAGAAATGCTGCAAGGATATGGTAAGTACCATAAAAAACTGCAGAAATACAATAAAAATATTCAGATACGTTAAAAATCGAAAAATTTCATTCCCATATAAACAACATGTTGGAGTGAAGTTTTTTGAATCGAAACCGCTGAAGTGAAATTTTTCAAATATTTCACTTAAAATATTCTTACATTCTATTCATAAAAATGTAACTATAAATAAAAAATAATATATAGATATATGCCCTAGTAAAAAAAAATCAAAGTAAATTTGTTAAATATTTTTGAAAAAAAAAAATTCACATACGTACTTACAAAAAGTTGATTTTGTTTAACTTTTACTCAAAAAATTTTTATGAAAAAATTCCAACAGATTTCTATGGTGATGACTTATTTCCGCCAAAAATGGATGGGCGCCGCGGTCCAAAACGTCCACGTACAATACTCAACACACAGCAGCGTCGTGCATTTAAAGCTTCCTTTGAATTGTCGCCGAAACCCTGCCGCAAAGTTAGAGAGAATCTTGCTAAGGAGACTGGTTTAAGTTTAAGGATTGTTCAAGTAAGAAAATCCTTGTGTATGAAACAAAATGATTTCATTATTTTTCTAATTTTTCATAATTTTCAATTAAATCGCACTCAACAGGTTTGGTTTCAAAATCAACGCGCCAAAGTGAAGAAAATTCAGAAGAAGGCCAAACAGGAGCACACCAAGGGTACAAGTGATTCGCAGGACTCACAGGAATCTGACAGCAGTTTAGCTAAAATCAAGGATGAGGCGCATAGTGATAATGAGTCGTTGTTGGAGTCACCGTTCTCATCCTGTGGTGCAGGTGGTGGTTCGAGTTCAGATGGTGCTGCAAAACTGCGATGCATAAAAGATGAAAATGAAAATGCGCCTTTCAATTGCATGGAAACAAATAAAGGTGCGTTCTTAATTAAATACAACATCAATAAAGCAATTTTTAATTAAAATGTTATTTTTAAATATATAAATACAGAAACTATTTTAAGTGAATGTGATGGTATAATATATCATATCATATAAATAAATATAATATATAAGTGGTAGTCATATAGGATGTATTAATACTATTAGGTCATATTATAATAATTGATCACAAATTTTACTTTAGTTTAGGATGTTAACGTCGTGAAATATTTGATTATCAATTATGAAAAAGCAAATTTTAGATCGTATCCATGGGCTTGTACTGATTGCATAGACATATTATGAAAATGATATTATAAAGTTTCTTGATTCTGATAAATATAATAGCTGTAATTATGGAATTGATCTCAAATAATAAACTGCTATAGGGGATTTGAATATTGTACCTTTTTGTTATGGTATAGGTGTTTTGTAAAAAATTATACATATACAATTAAAATTATATATACTTTAATTTCTTAAAAAAGGCAAACCATTTATTTATTTTAATCACACTATGATAATGAACTCTGTTAGAAAGGAGGACTTCTTATCAAAAGATGCTTCTACTCTTGAATTATACCTAATGTCTGGTTACGGTGCTAGTACTTTTTGATTATTGCAAAAACCAAAAAAAGTAACAACCCCGTATATAAAGGTCTTTGAGTTTCAAACCTTCCCAAAATATTTTAAAAAAATTAACACTAAGTACAATGGATTTTTTAAAGGAAATGTTTTCGTATAAAGTTGGCATAAATTTTTATAGCCATATTACCACCCTTCCAAAGCTTCTTAAATTAATATTTGTATATATTAACAAACTTAACTAATCATATGGCTGGAAGACTCAAAACAACAACTACTTTCTTAATAATTTTTGACTTCTTTTTGTTATTATTTCTTGCTTTGATCACTTAGAAAGGGAGACTTCAATTAATTTTTGAGTTAATCAGTTTTAGCTCATAATTGAATGATACCCAGGCAAACTTATTAAATACGCACCATCACATTTCCGAGCTTGTAGAGCTTGATTCTTTTTCCCCATATAGTTTCCAGACAATATTGTTGTATATGATCCATTTTTCATAACCTATTACCATATACTTCAAAAGTGGCTCCGTTTTGTATCGTGTACATAGTTTTTCGAATATATTTTTTTTTCGCTAAATTCTTCATGAAGCACTCTAACATCAGTAACCATATTGTACCTTTTTTTTGTCCATAGCAATGTCAGTACTTATAAGCCGATGTTCTTCAACTCTCATTCCAATTTTATCAACTTTTTCAATAATATCAAATTTTTTTTATAATCAGCTCTCCCGAGTTTTAGGTTCCACAGCAATGTTGGAGCTTATAAGCCGATATTCTTTAAATCTTATCCACAATTTATTTATTGACTTTTCAGTGAAAAAGTCATCATCAAAAATAAAAAAAGATATCAATCAATTTTTTTAAATCAGCTTTTACAAGTTTTAGATCTATAGCGCTGTCAGGACGTATTCAATAACAGAGCGATCAAAGCAAACGATATTAAGTGGAAGCTATATGTTTGCGAGAGAGTTTGTTTACTTTTATAATTACAAATATTTAAATATATCGCCACAGCATTTTTTCGATCATTATAGTCAAATTGTAAGACATTATAGCACCGATTCAAACTGTTTCAAAATTATAATATATTTTAGTTAATTTATAGTTATTTATATTTAAATATAAATATATAACATTAGAACATTAATATCTAATATTTATAAAATATCTTTTTCAATTATACTTTTAGAAAACTGCAATAAAACAAACGAACCGATATTGAACACCATTTTAGGCTTAAGCTATGCAACGTTCCAGCAACTTATGGGTCCGTTCACCCAAACACCAACAATCAATCCAATCGATAGATTATATAGTATGCAAAACTCGTATTTTAGACCGGAGGAGATGAACTATAATGACTGTGGCAAGGAAGTCGGTGAAAATTGAACAGAAAATTTTAATACATTTTTTAGTTCTAAGAAGGAAAGATGAAGGCGGAAAGAATGAAGCAGTTAAAAGTTAAAGAAATGATCAAATCAAAATTAGTCTTTGTAAATTTCAATTTAGTTTTAAATGTTATTAATTTAGTGAATGAAAATATTTATTTTAAGCTTAAATAATGCCAAAGAAAATATATAAAAAACGAATAAATAAATTCATAATTAAATATTAATAAGTTCTTAATAAGCATTTTATTCTAAATATGGGTCACAAAATCTACTTGAACACTGGAGATCTCAATCAGGCCTACGGCAGTCCAGATGATTCATTGCAAAAACGTTATACAGGACGCTATAGACTCAATTACCACATGAAGAATATAATTGCGGTAAAAAGCGATTCCTGTCGACTCTGTCATGATGAGCAGGAAAGGTTAGAAAATGTTCCATGCAACTGCCCACCGGCGACAAGACGTTGACTTTACTACCTTAAAAGCGGAGTCTTAGTCCCAATCATATAGTTAAAATGAAGCACTACAGCAATTAAGAGAATGCAGGTGCATAATAATATTTTTAGGTCGGGGTGCATTCATATGAAATACTTAGTATATATGCGAGCTCCAGCTATAACCAATTGAAATCCATGTGTGTAAGAAAATTAACAAAAACGAAATCCCTCGACAGTTTTGACAATTGTTGAGAGTATACAATGCACACATCCATTAGATTAGATTTCACTTTTAAAACTAAAATTTAACTTAACTGACATTTATCTTCTTTTTGCAGGTGTTGAAGAGAAATTGTCGTACTCAAAGCAGATATTTAGTTCCAAAAACAAAAACAACAAATTCAAATGGCCAAAAACTTTTTAGCACGAGCTGTGTTTGTTAGCAACAAATTAGTCACATTTGACAAAATTTTACGTAGTCCTTGTTATCCTTGATGGAACAAAATTACTTGGAAAACGCATGAAATGAATAATATGAGCGAAAAATTTGAATTCGTCATGCATTGTTCACCGGCGACAATTGTTGACGTTGTCCTGTTCGTTGCTCTGATGATTGTGCGCGTGCAAGCAGAACAAAAACAAGGACGAAAGGAATTATCAGCAACACTTGTGCACTTCGATACGGATTTGTCCTTGCTGACAAAGAGAATATGTCAGCGATGCAGTCACCTAAGCGACCCCAAAAAAGTCGTGAACTTTTGAAGCAGGATAATTCGAAGAGCGACACAAAGTCTTTGTGGAATTGAAAACAATTTCAATTGTACTGAAAATAAAAAGCGATGAAAGCGATAAAAGCGTTGCAAAATAGATTAACTAGAAATGCTACTGAGCTCTTTTTGAGCTGATACTGCATTCAAATTACGTTTTGGAAGAAGAATTCTAGGAAACTGGGTGCTTTTTAAAGAATTTTAAAACCACAAATAATTTCTAATGGTTTCCCATAATATCGTATATTGAATACATACATTGGCTGTCTTAGATATTAAAATTTCTGTAAATATTATGAATCAGTACAATTCTATATACAGTAAGTAATATTACTTAAGTTGTCAATAACATTGAGGTGAGCTTAGTTTATTATAGTAACCCATCACTATATCCCGTCTAACTATTAATAATGCTATAGTGAGTACATGAGTACGATATAGTGAGAACGTGATCTTATATATAGTATAAGTTTTTGCCTTATGAAAGTATACGTACAGGCAATTCAAAAGTCTGGGAGAGATTTTGGTATAAGTAAATCTAAATATCTTTAGAAAATTCGAATCAGTGCAAATTGCACAAGAAATGCAACTTTTGTTTCAAATTTGACTGCAATAAGGACACCTAAAACTGATTAAAAAAACTTCAGGAGATCCAAATCAGAGGGAATGACAACACAAAATTCTAGTATAAATATTGGTAGACGCAGTCGATATTAATATCTTCAAAAAATTCAAATCAGTGCAAACTGAAACTAAAACGTCTAAAAACATCCAGAGCTGATCAAACAAATTGAAGGAAATTCAAATCAGTGGAAGCGACACAAAGTATCTTCGTTTTTCGAAGTTTACATCAATTGTAATAAGGACTTCTATCCACATTTAGTCGAACATGCATTTGAAGTGGTGACATTTTTCAACTACGACATCAATTGTACCATCAAATATTGAAACAGATAATGAAATGTCTGGATGGTTGGTGAAATCCAACAAAATTTTCTACAGTCTGCCGAATTTATTTAAATTGATGAACCTTATCATTGCATCCAAGCCACTGCAATATAAAAGAATGTTATTCTCAATATTTACGTATGAATCTAAAATTTGGGTACTTAGCAGAAAATATTCGGACTTCTATGGAAAATTGTTGGCACCATATGGAAAGAAAGGCGATTCCGGAAATGCTACATACACGAATTGTATCCGATTTACCTTAAAGCAGGCTTATTCACAGAGATAAAGCTCGGTGTATACCGATAAATGGATCCTATAAGTCATGTGAGTAAAGAGGAACCTGTTCAGAAAACCAATTGTAGTAGATTTAATAGTAATTGACAGAGAAATAGAGTATATCTACTTTAGGATTACTTTGAAATAGTGTGCTTAATTTAATAGTCGTAATCGGAGTCGGTGACAAAACTTGTAGAAGGGGGCCATGATGAGATGCTAGTTGTAATATCGATGATAATGATGTTAACTATTAAGTATGCAAGAAATATTGTTTGATTAAACTTGTTTGTGTTAATTGGGAGCATATTGCACTTTGCTATAAATTTCGTAACAAATTTTAATGGCATGGTAGATTATCATTTTGAAATATAAATCTTTGATTCGTGTCCAATGAACTCCCCTCTATCTAATATGACTTTTACTAAGAAATTATGTAAGATTTTTAATATCAAACTCGACTTTTTTAGCATTTATGGTATCCCTTTATAAACTTTAATTTTTCTTTTTTTAATATCATTGATATTATTAGTACTATAACTAACTAAAGGACGATATGAAATAAAGCTGTATATATAAAAATATATATATTATCTTTTTTTTTGATATTTAGCAAAACATTTTTTTTTTTTGATTGCAATATCAGTATTTATCAATTATATGCTAAAGCAGATATATATTCAGAGCGCACATGTGATGCCCAATACATAGGATGGACGTTAAATAGCTAACAAATGGTAAGCAAAGGAAAAGAAGGAAAAGAAACATAAAGAGGAGTTTCTTTTAGACGGTTAGTTCTTGACCTTAACTGTTAGAGCCAATAAATAATATAATAAAATTTTTTTTTAATTATATTTGTTATATTAAAATTTAGTCATACAAATCTGTGTTACATTCTGACATATATAGGTATATACACATCATATAAATAATTTCTAATAACAAAATGATATTCATATTATGGCTCATGCTCTCAAAAGCATACATTGAGAGCAGGTGCATTACATTGTATGCAATACACCTGCATGATATTAGTAGCACTGATTGCACATTGCGCACCCTGTACAATTCACTTGTTATAAATTTCTTCAACTACACGCAAATGTTCTTACACAAAAAATAGTAACGCCTTTATGCAATTTGTCACAATATGTGTCACATTAGTTACAGTAATTGCGATGCTCGGTAACAAGATTATACCTCAAAAGTACAAAATCGGCAATAAAAATAGTTAAACATCTAAGGACATAAGTTTTGCCGCCTGATTACCCAACAAATACGTACATTTTCTGCGATTTTTGTATACGGATCTGTAACTCACTATAAAATTGGAAATTCTATTTTATTTAGGGTGAAATTTGACGACGATGATGATTACTTCGCTTAAGGGATAAATAAGGGATGTCCTTGTATGACGTTTAACAGAGCAACTCACAACTCAATGGACGAAAATAAAATACCTAAAATCATTTAATCAGGGTGAGCAGAGGAAGCCAACGTCAATTAGTTGTGCACCAAATACAAGGAAGAGAGGACTTCCCTAGCAGAAATCATTAATCAAATTTTGAATAAATAAAAAAGTAAAGTGATTCCTTACTGTAAACTCGAAAAAGGACCCTATTAAGTTTGAAAGTGCACCACAAACTCTTTTTTTAAATACTTCTTTTTCATTCGTACATAAATTAAGTATTTTTGTTTGCTGATCCTTCCATTTTTTGTTTGTTTTCTGCATTGTTGGTCAATGTATGTCCTGTAAGCATTTTTTCACATTTTTGCAATTCCATTTAAACAACAACAACAAATTTTTCAGTGTTTAAAATTTTTTTTAATTTTTTTTTATGAAGAACACGAAGGATGTCCGCCTTTAAAAAATGCGTGTAAATTATATAATTAATTACCGTTTTATCGCCGCATTTGTATGCACATCACGTTGCCACACTTGTTCCATTGCATGACACTGCAATTTTAAGCGACTAAATGGGGTGTTCACGTCCGCCGACAGCTACTGACATCCTCGCCATGGTCCTTTCGTTTTGTTCCTTTGTTCGTAAACAAAAATTTTACAGAAACTGGAACACGTGGTTTCACTGTTTATAGAGCAAAGACAAAGGCAAAAAAGAATTGAATTTAATTTGCATAAATCAATTTTTTTAAATAGATTCTGCGGCTGCTTTGTGTAATGGCTTATATACGTATATAACATATATAAATATATGTTAACAAAAAAAATATATAAAAAAATTATTCAAAAAAATATTTTTTATTGCAAAATGAATATACTTAACATATATCGAAACTTTTGTATCAAATAGTTTTATTGAATAAATTTATTTTATACTACCATTCATAAAAACCTGTGATAAATAATTGTTATTTTTTTAATAATTTTTTTTATATGAAAATGTTTTATTTTAATCAATCAATTTGTTTACCGTTTGTTCCATTCAAATCATACAAAATTTCCAAAGTCCTAAAAAATCTTATCGATGCTCAGTGATTTGTTAGAAATACAGATTGAAACTGCAGATACAGTGATTTAAAAGTTTACGGTAAAGCACCAAGAACGGTTACAACAAAACAAAGTCCTAAGAAATCTAGTCGATGCTCTGTAATTTGTTAAGAATATAGACTTCCATCGGGACTTAAAAATTGGCGGTAAAGCAATAGGAACGGTTACACGAAAACAGAGTCCTAAGAAATCTAATCGATGCACTCGGAACGTTACAACAAAACAAAGTCCTAAGAAATCTAATCGATGCACTAGAAACGGCTACAACAAAACAAAGTCCTAAGAAATCTAATCGATGCTCTGTGATTTGTTAGAAATATAGACTTCCATCGGAAATTAAAGATTGAAACTGTAGATACAGTGATTTAAAAGTTTGCGGTAAAGCACCAAGAACGTTTACAACAAAACAAAGTCCTAAGAAATCTAGTCGATGCTCTGTAATTTATTAAGAATATAGACTTCCATCGGGACTTAAAGATTAAAACTGCAGATGCAGTGATTTAAAAGTTTACGGTAAAGCATTAAGAACGGTTACAACATAACAAAGTTCTAAGAAATCTAATCGATGCTCTGTGATTTGTTAGAAATATAGACTTCCATCGGAAATTGAAGATTGAAACTGCAGATACAGTGATTTAAAAGTTTGCGGTAAAGCACCAAGAACGGTTACAACAAAACTAAGTCCTAAGAAATCTAGTCGATGCTCAATGATCTGTTATTAACCATTTGCCAGTAAACGGAGACATTTATCATGCGAGTTTTGTCACAGCTTATAATACACTTAATATTAACTGCTTAATCATATGAATGAAGTAATATTCATTCAATTATGCACAAATCTCATTACTATAAAAAACACTAACTAAATATAAATAGGTAGTGGATTCATCTAAATTTTGCAATCCACTAAAATATCTTATATTAAAATTAAAACAACTTCATACAAATTGTTTATTTCTTTTTATAGCTCCAAATTTAAAAAAAATAAAATAGTGCTGTTTTACGTATTAATATGATTGTGAATAGCACTTTTCTATTTTCGTTGCAAATCTGTGTAGAAATAAACTCATAATTATTCTAAATTGAGTATGCTTTTGTGAATGAAAAAGCATTAAAAGTAGATACAGCTGAATATTAGAGTGAGTCCTTACACATATACAGTGTCTCATATTCAAAACAAAATATTTTAAATATGCAACTTTGAAGAATGTTTAATTTTAATTATAAAACAAAAAAAGTTTAACAAAAATATCAATATTCAAGAAGTTAAGTGAGCAAAAACAAACAGACATCAAATTCTGACCTTACAGCTTATTTCGTGTATTATTTTTGCTTTTCAAAATGGTGCAAATAACAGGGACTTGAAACTAATGATACTTGATAAACGCAAAACTAATTATTTTACAGGGAATATTACCAATAAACAGTAAAATGAAGAAGTAATTAAAATATTAGGAGAGATGTTCGGCTAAAAAACCATTTTTATTAACAGAAAAATCGATAACAGAAAAATTGAAACGAAAATAGAATTTTAGAACCTTCAACGGAAAATCCTACTTCAAGACAAAAGAAAGACAAGTAATGCACAAAAAACCAATTGTGATGCAAATATATTGCAAAAACTGAATAATAGATTTAATATTTTAGAGATTTTTGAACAAAGATCCAATTAGAAAAACATAAATTTAGGCACTACTAATCAACCATGCGAAAATTCCGAAGAATTCTGCCGGTACCAATTGAAACTATACATTGGAATATAGTTTCCTCCTTGGGAGAGAGCTATCTCCTCTAACACCTTTATTATTCTTCGGGGTTCAGCTACCGGTTTTAAATTCAAACTCTACATCGAATGAAACTAATGTATGCAGTCATTCTACCAGCGTAGCTATAGGTTTTAACCACAACCATCATGATACCAATCTCAAACAGACCAATCTCAATTGATCACGACAGCCTAAGCTGTGGACCTCGACATCTGTTGTATTGGACTAACACCATGGGTAGAGTGCCACAGTTACAACTCATTCACTACCATTTATATTCGAAACAATTTCGGATGAATTTTTTAAGTTTTCGTCGTCTCGTATAATAGGCATGCCTTATCATGGATATATTCTATTGTATATTCCTGTAGTATCTATAGGGAATTGTGTTGAAAACTAGTGCGACAGAATAAATAATTTCCAACATAAGGTCAAGTTCCGTCAACTGAAGTGTTTTAATCATGTGTTTAGAATACCACAATCGAGACTTTCCAAACGGGTTGTGATAAGAAAGTCCAAAAAGAAGAAGGAGAAGACGTGGTCATCCAAAAAAAGATATTTAAGAACAAAATTTCGGAAACAGCGAAAAGAAGAAAAAAAAAAGACGAGCAAAATATGAATTTGAATTTGAATTAAAGGGTCTCATAAGTAATATACAGAAGATCATTTAAATTAAAATTTCTAAGTACCTATCAACATATTTCATGTAGATAATTATAATAAATGATTAATTTTCCATTTTCTATGATATCGCAAATTTTTAAGAAATTTATTCCTTCGTCTAATCAAATATATTTAAGTAACATATATGCAATTGAAGTTCAGGTTCTCTTCCTAAATTAGCCATTGCTCAACAATGTGAAACTCTGGGCCACATCGGCCACATATATAAAAAGGTTCTCAAATACTTCTGCTTTTTTAATTGCCAAAGTATAAAATGTAAGCGCATTACCAGAGGGTACTTTTAAATTATGAAAATTTCCAATTTAAACTCTTTTGGGAATCGGAATCCTTTTTCAACTAATTTTGAATTCGCAAAAAGTTTAAAGTGCACACACAAAAAGTTGGAAACTGCAATTAGCCATGATGGGTGCATGTTAGT